AAGCGTTAGTATACTATAGTGAAAGATATTTAAGTGTATGCAGAGTTGTAATTATATGAACGTGTTAGAATGATGGTGTGTACGCTTACCAGTCAATCGTATGATACGGATGAAAAGAGCATAATGAGTTTATAAAGGTCATTACAAAAATTAACACCATTTATGTATCATAAGTTCATACTTTACATACATTAAGAGAAACGAAATTACCAAGGCTTAACTAATTAATCCGATGTCAGTTACCTGGAGCCATTATGAGCTACACTTATTGTGTGTGTGTGTGTGTGTTAGACTAACAGTGATGCTACCCAGTTGCCTAATGATGAAACAGTTGGGGTGAGTGTCGAAGCCAGAACCCACTGGTTGGAGAAAAAGTGTTTAAGTCAGAGAGCCAAATCTGCACTGGATAGAAAAATTAGTTAAATGAGCTAACGACGTAAATAAGGCATGTCGTTAGGCAAGAAATTTGAAAGAGATCACTCGAAAGCTGAAGTCTTCAATGCAGCCAAGCTTCTGAAAGCTGTAAAAGCAGCTGGACCAAATGGAATACCTCCTGAAGCACTGAAAGCTGACCCAGAGACTACAGCAGATGTGCTGACTCCATTATTGCAAAAGTTCTGGAAGAAGGGAAAGGTGCCTACTGACTGGAGGAAAGGTTACCTCGTGAAACTAACAAAGAAGGGCGACTTAGGACTCTCTCTTCAAGAACTGGCAAGGTATCATGCTCCTGTAGAAGCCAAGTAAAATTCTAAGTCGCATCATCCTGGAGAGAATAAAGGACGCACTGGATACACAAATCCGACCAGTACAATCTGGATTCAGGAAAAGCAAATCATGTTCTGACCAAATTGGAACTCTACGTATCATCATCATCACAGAACAAAGCATGGATTGCCAACCAAACCTCTACCTCAAATTTATAGACTTTGGGGGGCCTTCGACAGCGTTGACCGTTAAGCAATTTGGAAACTACTCGAGTACTATGGCGTACAGTGCCCCAAATATTCATCAACCTTATTCAACAGCTGCACGACAACGGCGGCACATGTCAAGTGATCCAAAAAGAAAAACTCAGCGAAGCGTTTGGAGTAAACACAGGAGTTAGACAAGGGTGCTTATTAACTATCACCAATGATATTCCTACTTGTGGCGGACTGGACTGCGCGTCAGACAGTGGGAAATGAGAAGACAGGGATATCCTGGACCGACCGACGTGAAGAACCTAGAAAACCTGGATATCGCGAGTGAATGATTTATGTTTGATGTCACACAAAATCGAAGACTTACAAGCGAAAACCGACAAACTGGTCGAAGAAGCAGCCGGCGAAGACAGGACTCCAGGTGAACGTAGACAATACGGAGGTTATGAAAATAACCAACCAACAATAACAACAACAGCAATATCCAGCGCCAATCACCATTAACATGAGGGATTTGAAATAGGTTGCTTCATTCACTTCACTTATGTAGGGAGCATTGTCTCAACTACAGGCAGTCGGAACGGACGAGGATGTCAAATCGAGCGAGAATCGGGAAGGCGAGAAAAACATTCACTCATCAACCTGAAACCTATCTGGAAATCTTGGTCATTCAACATCAACAAAATCCAGTCGGATTTTCAATACAAACGTAAAGTCAGTCAGTTCTTATATACGAATCAGAAACTTTGTGGGCGGGTCAAAAAGAATATTTCCAACAGCCTGTTGTAGACACTACCTTTATCAACAACTATCTTCGCTGGATCTATAATGAAGATCAGATGGCCAGGCCGGAAAGAATCACCAACAAGAACAAACTATGGGAACAAACAAAACAAGAACCAGTCGCCAACCAACAAATATGCAGAAGAAAGTGGAGACGGATGGATTGGACACTCGAGGCTGAGGAGGCCGCTGGGTGAAATCGCGTGCGCGTCAGGCCATTGCTCGAGTGGAACCAGGCCGAAAGGGAAGCGGCGAGTGGGTGGTCAGTGCAAGGGTGACATGGAGGAGATCGTGTGAATAGGAGTTGAAACAGTATGGAATCACATGGATGCAGGTGAAAAGTACAGCAGAAGGGAGACAGAAGTGGCAAGTGTAGACGTGCAGTTGAAGCCCTATGTTCCACTAGGAACCCATGGGAACAATAATAATAATAATACTCGATTCCCTCAACTAACAGTAACATATCAACTAAAGTCAACAGCCCCGATGAGGATATCAAAACTACCCAGAATGTAAAAGGCAGGACAGACCTTAATCACTCTGTAATCAATTTGAAGACCTACTGCACTCAGCAGCACAATTAGAGTTCTCAACACCAATGTTAAGTCAATCAGTTTTTCTATATGGGTCAGAAACTTGGCTAGCGCATCACTTAAATTATCTCGACAAGGCAACCTGCAGACTTTTATGAACAGCTTCCATCTCTGGCTGTATTATAGTAAAGATCAAATTAGCCGTCAGAATGAATTAAAAGAATAAGCTCTGGCGACGAACTAATCAAGAGATTAGCGCTCAACAAATATATAGTGTAAAATAAAGACGGTTCAGATACACACCGAGGGGAGGCCATCGGTCCAGTGTAAGCTGAATGCGAAAGGACGAGTTGGACATAGGTCAAAGGATGATATGGAGGAGATCGTGTGAGGAGGAGATGATGGAATATAGGCGATTGTAAGGCCACCTGATGACGATTTCAGAAAACGCGGTGAAGCCCTATGCTCCACTTGAAACCCACAGGAATAATAATGATGATAATGTTGCTACGCTATTCAACACATATATCAGAATAACTTGGTTTAAAGTGTAGTACCCTGATAATCTTATATATATATCTGACTGACGTGGTAACGTATCCGCTATGTTCAATGGCTTGGATAGACTTTCTAAAGCAACTTGAAAAATGCGATATACATTGGTTTATTATTGGCAACTTTCAGATGTACAATCCAATCAATGATCATGAGAAGACAAACTGACTTCTCTCATTTATATAGGCCATATTATTTTAAGACAAGAATGGAGTACTTGAAGCTTGCTTAGGGGTTATACGTCAAAGCGAATACCAGAGAACGAAACATCAAAAGGCGGGCACATGCTAGAAACACAAAAATATTGATACTTACTATCAGCGAATTTATGCGAATCAGTGAACGATAAACAGACTGTTGAGAAAGTGTACTACACTGAGGTTAGCCTTGGGTCAAGTGCTAGGTAGGTGGGAGAGGAAATCAATATACGAGGTCGTGAAGCAGCTGCATCGATTGAGATGGTTAGGACATGTGTTATGCATGCGTCCGTAGCTATCGCCTTACTCGATAGAGGACAATGTTAGCTGATATAGGGTCAGGCTGGAAAAATGCTAGCAGCGGTCAAACCATAACATGGCACCAGTCAATGAAATCTACAACAGTTAGTTTAAGCCAACCAGTTACGTAGGTAGGTGTAAACTTCCTGACTGGTTGGGGTCTTCGGTTCGGTAAACACCAATGGCTGGAGACAATTGATGATGATATGGCTCAAAGTGATTGTTCTCAATGACTGGCAACGATGCATCCACTCCTTGTGACTTATAATACCCAACAAAACTATATCGTTCTTTGATATTACTATTCTTTTTGCCACATATGTCTGTTAACTGTCTCTCTCCATTTTGAATTTCTTTTTACTTTGGTTTCTTCCTTTGTGTTCTAGATGGAGTCGAGTGTGGTGACTCGAACTGCTGCACATCAGTGGAAAGTTCTATGTTGAAAACAGAGAGACAGTATGGAACTAATCTATTCAAGCTCACGTAGCTCTATGTAATAGCTTAAAAGTAGTTGTTACCCGAAGTGAAAACAACCAGTGGAATCCGTCAGGAATGTTTAATATCTCCATTTTCGTTTAATTTCATACCCTAATCGACTTTAGCGACTTAGATAATGTTGGGTTAGCAAAGTGCAGTTTTGTCAGTTAAGAATATATGCAGCTGATGTAGTCCTTCTGAACGAAGCAAAAGGCAAAGTACATAGTCTTCTGAACAACTTGAGCAGAAAAATTGGTATGTTCTGCCAGATGTAAGAAAATGCCACTGTACTGGTCCGAACCAACTACTGGTATCTGAAGATAAGTAGTGAAATGGTTGAGTGTGTTGACCACTCCACATATTCGAGAAGTCCGACTAGCCCTAATCAACTGTTTGCTGACGAAATCTCAGCACAAATGCAATAAGCTTATGTGCCATTTGCCAAATTAGGTCATCACCTGGTGTAGACATGATATCAGGCTGCCCATCAAAGGACATGTATACTGTGCAGCTATTCAGATTGAATTAGATGGACAGAGATTCAATCTGGTGAACCATTAACTGAAAGCTGAGGGCTTAAGCCGATGAATCACGTTTACAAATAAGAAGAATACCAAGACAGGATACAAAACTGCCTAATATTATCAGTCAGGAGATGTTCACACCAGCGAAAAGCGCTAGTCACATAGATGTAAACACAAGATAAATGTTTTACTCTGTAGGGGGTGGAAGCCATCAGTTTTGACACGAGAAAGTTCAGGGTTTCAAGCCAGTCTTTCTACGCAACTAAAATTAGAATATATATCATGCAGGTTTTTTTTCTATATATTAGATACAAGGTCAAATAGAACTATGAGATGTCCACCAACTCAGGTGTAGAGACAGATACTTGCCGATGAGATTGGCTGGAAATGGCAAATACATATGTTACAGAAGGGCACAATGGGCCACTGGGTTCCCATCCAGTTGACTGAGTAGTCAACAGCCTCGCCTAGTAAACTGAAGGTGATAGGTTCGCACTGTGAAGAGTCCGAATTTGGGGCGAGACACCTGTACAAAGCGTCCTGGTTTACAATAGCTGTCTAACTGACATTATTTCATCATCTAACTTGTAACGGAAGATTGCATGAAAACAGCTCATTTTAATGACTCCTTCTAATGAATTTGAAAATACAAAAAACTGTTTTAATAATCGAAAAGTAAGTCAGTTTTAAAAGTGCTTGTGAACAACTCACCTTCCAAGTATCTTCAAGTGGAACTGTGTCAAAAATAGGATTATTATTTTCATCCGTAGGGAAATCAACTTCGCCAGCCTAGTCAACAATAAAGTGAATTTTTACAGAAATAATAAACAGGTTATTTAATAAATAAAAAAATCATTTTGAAGGATTACTTGGTGAAGACTAACATTCCAGTCTAATCTTATGTAAGCTAGTTGAGACATCAGTTGGAGAACCATTGGTAAATCATCCTAGAGTACTGTATAGCCATTTCATCTTTGATTTAAGACTTTTTAGCAGTACCGAGCAACCACGGTTCAAACACATGACCCTCCGGTTACAAGGAAAGCTCGAACACCATTCAGCCGCTGGGAACCTATCTAATGACCTGTGAATCCCAACATCTACCAGTACGTGAGGAAGGACGAAGTTGTCTGGAGTTCTGTTATGAAATCATGACCAGTGCGGTGTACAATTTATGGCGGGAGGACAAATACTTGCCGATGACAGTAGCTGGTGATCCCGCAAAAATCACTAATTCCAACCATTTCTACCAATTCGTGAATTCACGATCATCAGCTAATTTCATCGGAGAGTGAATTTTCCTCATCCTCGACATGGTGGACTCCAGTGGTCATGACTTGTTACCAGAACTCTAGGAAAATTCACCCGGTAGGCAGTAATTAGCCAGTGTCAGACTTATTTCCCAGGGTTATTTAGTGCGGATTTGATAAGTTAGTCCCAACACTAGGCGGAGATTAGACACACAACACTGTCTACTACTCAATGACCAATCAAAATCCGCATTACAGTCCTAGAGGAGGAAGTTAAACGTCAGTCCAGATAGTTTAGTGGTAACGTCTTTGATGGCAGCAATAACTGGCATAGATTTTAATCTTCGAAGGAGTATCAGTTTTTTCCAGGTTTTTCTAAACAAGTGCGAGGAAATAGGAAACTTAAGTCTAAGCCCTCCCCTCCCCCCTTAACCTGTTTATTCCCTCCAATCACCTAATATCTCAGTCGAAAGTGCACCATGGAGGCGAATCACATAGCCTAATAGGCGCAGTTAAACTATCCTAGCCAAAACCACAATCACCTTGGACAGCCAATCAGAATTCATACCGAAAATGTCACAGAATCGTTGAAAAATGCACTAAAAAACATTGCAAACATGATAGTACACTATACAGTTGTGTTATAAGAATGTCTTTCAGTCACTATATAAATGATCTATAGGGAAATCATAACATGCACAGTAGATGTATTCACCTAGGTGACTGTAGCACTTATGGTACTTTGAGATCTATTCATATATATCTGACACTGTACTTTAACCTACTCCTAAATTAAACGCTAATTCTAATCTTAATCCTAGACCCTAAAACTTAATATAAAAAGCCATAACCCCACCTAACAGTATAGATTTACAGAATAATCACCTAGGGAATAAGTAGAATACTGTATCTACCCTCTCCAATTCCACAAATGCAGACAGGTAGGCATGATTTGATTCAAGATGACCTTCTAACTCTTTTCTTGTATCTGATTGGTTCTTGAAGGTCGACTTGTGAAAAACTTTGGCTATGACATTTCAACTTCACCGCTTAGTGATAATATTTCGCATATATAAGTGACGATACAACTCAGTCAGTAGCGGCACTACATGAGTACTAGATATAATAATACTGGTTACAACATAGTAACTATCAGTTGGCGAAATAATAGTCAAGCACATTTTGACAGAATCTTTGGTTTTGAATCGAAAGAAGAACAAGATCTCAATATGAATTTCATCATGAATCAACAACAGTTAGAGTTACATCACTAAAAATCAACAGGGAGCACTGGAAAACTGTTTTGACCCAGTTAAGGACTCTTCATCATTGCACACCTACGATGCGACTAGGGGGTCGAACTCAGGAGCTCCAGCGCAAGAGATCAAGCTAGATGACCATTCAACCAATTAGGTCGAAATTCAGTGACCTATGAATCCAGATTGAGTCAACTTATGAAAAACAGCGCTATCCTCACCAATGCCTTCAACGAGCATCCACTTCGCTTCGATCGATCGATCGATGGTGGACCTCAATGCTCATTATGACTACTCAATAGAGACAGCTGCAGGGCATCTATCCAGTGGCCAGCAACGATCTGGAGGTTGTTATTATTTAGATTTTGGCTAACACTATATCACAAGTTAGAATTTCATCATGAACAGATGTCGGTTAGAGGACCATGGGAGAACAAGCAGAGAGGACTGAACAGCTCTGTCTTCCTAGAGCTCTGGACTCTTCAACGGTACGCACCACCTACTGTCAGGCGTGGAACCCAGAACCTTCCGGTTACATGACTAGCAAGCTCATAGACCATTATGCAACTGTGACCCGACTCAATGACCAGCTCATGAATTCCAATTTCTGCCAATTTATGATATGGCGCGACTACTAGCGAAATGTGATTGGTGAGTAATTGTCCTCCCACCCGCCCTACCAGCTGTAACCCACTGGTCACTACTTCCCACTAGAACCCAGGTGAATACCCACCCGAATAGGGTCGCCAGTCATTAGTAAGCAACAGACGGATGTTCAAGTGTTGGTTTCAGGATTTCATCATGAACTGATATCGATCAGATGGTGAAATCCTGAAAACAGATCAAAGCCCGGCAATCCAAAACACTTTTAAGTTAGAATAATTCACAGGTTATTGAATTCTAGCCGGTTCAAATGACTGAATGGTCAACAGGCCTGGTCTCAAAACCGGAAGGTATCAGGTTTCCCATTCTTGATAGAGTCGTCGTAGGTGCGTAGTGACTGGGAGTTCAAAACTAGGACGAAATAGGTGTTGAGTACTGCTGTGTTGGTTTCCAATGATCTCTCCAAATGATGCTGGTTCGTAATGAAATCTTACTATTCAAAATAATCTAAATCTCTCTGCGTCGGTGGCACAGAAATAGAATGATCGCCAACTAATGAGGTGGTTCAGGGTTCGACCCCTAGCCACCAACTCAGTCCTTTACCTCGCCAAGCCAACAATAGGACTGGTAAAGAAGGAAAGTTTGGCTAGGTGAAGCTAACAACTCAATCCCGTAAAAGTAAACACCACTTGTAAATGAATGTGAATATTGAACGTTGGCTCATTGGCCTTGGTCGCCATTGACGGGCAACTCGAAGGCGCGAATGATTCGATCGTGAACAAGTTGGAAGAAGACGACTACGAATACGAATAAAGATTTTGTACAGATATTGACTTTTGCTGCAGAACAATACAATTCTTCTCGTTCCTTGTGTTTCGGAATTAAGGTCAATATCTTTCATAGTAATTGTCGGTTCGAGCGCCTTCGGAGATTATAGGAACCTAGGGTTAGGTTCCTTGACACCACTGCTACAGAAACTTTAAGCCTATAACATGAAGCCGCCCTGTGTTCCACTGGGAACGTGAAGGAATTAAAAAAAAGCTCTCCACAAAACAAACCCGGAAACAAACATTAAAAAAAAATACAAAAAAAGACGAATCACACCCTGGTTGACATCCATCAAAATCTAACCCTCATCTCACCTCATAATGTATACCGATTCTGTTACATAATTAAAAATGATAGTAGTAATAATAATAATAATAATGATATCAGTACATCTTGAACTCACTTGAAATGAAACCGGAAAATGAATTAAATATAAATCCAAATAGTCAAGTTGCAGATCTTTCAATGACTTTTCACATGCTTTCTTTACATTTTCTGGACGATGACACGTGTGCCATAACTGAAAGAGGGAAAAGGATGGAGAAATATTATTATTATTATTATTATAGTTATTTATCGATGAGATGTTCATTAGCGACTTGCCCTATTCAGTTAGTTAGTTACCTAGGGTTCTAGTGAGAAGTTGTGACCAGTAGGATGCAGAAAGTCGGGTGTGAGGACAAAAACTCCCCGAAGACATTGCATAGGGGTCGCGCTATGTCGTGAATTGGCAGAAGTTGGAATACATGGGCTGGACATTGGATTGTTGGGTCTGAGTGGCTCAATGGTCTATGAGCTCACCTTGTAACAGGAAGGTATTGGGTTCGAACCCTGGCGGATACGTACTGATGAAGAGTCCCGAACTAGGACAAAACATCTGTCCAGTACTATGCAGCTAGTTTTCCAATGGTTCTCTAAACAATGTCAGCTCCTGGTGAAATCCTGTAGCCAATCAAATCCGTACAAATCAACACTTGAATATTATAATTATTATTGTTCCCTCGGGTTCCAAATGGAACATAGGCATTCAACAACACATCTCCTTTCTACCCCTACTCTCTGTTGTCCACTTCAGCTGACCCTACTATTCCACATAGTCTGTTGTTTTTCTCCTCGCACGACCTTCTCCGTGTCACTCTCAGAAGCTACTACACATACACACAAATATATTGGCGAAACAATATAAGAAGATATAATTTATCTGAATCGTGTAATGTGTATTTGCCAGAGTAATTCATACATTTCGAACAGATCGGTTCGAAATTGTCATAAGAATACGTTATCTATACGGAAATACTAAACAGTTATGGGTCCCGACTGTCAATCGGTTCAGGCAATTCAATATGCTTCTGAAGCCATTTTGCCAGGTGTGCTGTGAAGCCGATGATTAAGAAGTTCCAAAAACAATTTATCATCTCACTACACCTTATTTGGTAATTATTTAACCTGACCCATTGCAGCTAACATCGCCCATCGAGGAAGGCGACAGCTAGGTATGTGTAACACATGTCTTAACCATCTCAGTCGATGTAATTTCACAACCTCTTCGGTTGATTTCCCCTCCCACCTACCTAGCACTTGACCGAAGCCCAACCTCAATACCGGTCACCTTATTACACCACTTCACACGGGAGTTAGAGCACAGGTACCTATGATCAAAGACGGCTAATCTTTTCATGTCTTCCACTCTCAATAGCCACGTCTCGCAGCCACAAAGGAGGACGGAGTGGACTGATGAGCAGTACACCCGCCCTTTGGTCGCCAGCTAGCCGGATATCACGTCTACTCCAGAGACGGCGTAAACTGGCATATGCGAGACCAGCCATCTGTGTAGTACAGTCCTGTAACATCATCTTGAATTTGGTGGGAGCGAATCGCACGCCAAACATTCGTAGATTGCTGCTCAAGGTGTCCAGAAGACTCTGCATTTTGTCAGAATTTTCACCTACAAGGACTATATCATATATACATTCTAAGTCAACGAGACTATTCCCTGGTAACAAGTCAATCCCTGAGTCACTGAAGTGAGTTAGGGTTAAGTCCATCAGTACATCTATGATGAAATTGAATAGAAATGGGGATAATGTGCATCCCTGACGGACCGCACGAGTCGTCACCACTTCAGATGACAAATCGCCGTAAGCCCTCAACTGGCTGCATGAGTTCGAGTATAGTGCCTTGATCAATGCAATGTATTTTCTCGGCATTCCCTTTACGGCCAAGCATCGCCAGAGTACCTCTTGGTTGACAGAATCGAATGCCGCCTTTAGGTCAAGGAATATAAAGATCGTTTATAGATGGCCACAAGTTGAGTCGGGATGATCATATAATGGAAGCAATATACTGCAAATACATTTCTATTTGTCAGCAGTACCACTTGGCACCCACCCACACACACACACCCCACCAACACTGTGTAAACCAATTACACCAGGCTGGTAATTGCCTTCAATCTAATTACCATCGAAATGACCTATCTGGAAGATTAATTCCAGCTAGTGTTACTTGTTGGATCATCGCTATACGAAAACTCAATCACCATATCAAGGTAGCAGCTGTCGGTTGGATCCAACACCATTCAGTATTTTAAGCCAGTATTTATCTGACATCGTGAACCTTAGAGTTTACAGAAACTCATTCGATCTCTTGGAGAATTTGATCCCGGTGAATGATGAGCACTCATCTTCACCTCCAAGTATTTCGTAACAGAGATTTCAGGTGATTTTTATGGTCGTTTTATTCCATTTCTATATTAAATTACATTGACATGACTATAATCTGTTTTACGCCTCATTATTTAGTACTGTCTATTATTGACTTTGTGTCTATATGTCAATGCGTCATTCACTGAATAGTCGAGTTAGAATTGCACATTTATATTGATAATACAAAGTGTACAATATATCAGAAGGCACAAAGTTGAAGCATGCAATCGATGAAACAACTTCTTACTGTCGATATGTCGATGACACATTTGTAGTGTGCAAACAATGAAAGTCATACTTCCCACTTACTCAGACTATTCAATGACGCACATACCAATACGGCATTTACTATGGAACATGAAAGTGATGGAAAGTTCCACTTCCTCTACATTTTCATGTAACGCCTAGAAGGTGGTACTTTTCAGAAGTCAATTTACCAAAAGCCTACTTAGAAAGGACAATACCTACATTTTAATAGTTTTGTCCAAATAGCTACAAACGTGGAATTGTCAAGAGCTAGAAGATTATGCTCTACAGAGAAATTAGAGGAAGAATTTATGATTCTCACAAAGATTTTGAAAAGCAATAGTTATACACTCAAAGATTCATTAACAAGTACGGAAGGCCTGAAATCTCAAATGTCAAACAAACCACAGTGGAGAAAAAGTCCATCTACATTCAACTTGATTATAAATGGCAAAACATTGAAGCAATCATCGACAGAAGACTGAGTACGTCACTAGCCACAGCCTCTCCTGTAGGTAAGCTCGTCCTTGTCTGTTGAACAACTTGCTCTTTGGTGAAATCAAAAATCGATAGATATCCTTTTCATGTTTTCTCCAACTGTATATACAAATGTATCTGCGGGAGCAGTTACATTGGAAGGACAGAAAAGGGCATATCTACGATTTTCTGAACATGTACGAAGATGCTTATGTCTAAAGGGAACAAATGCTTTAAACAGTGCCATCGCCAGACATCTCCTTCACACGGGTCATGAGGTGGACGTCAAAAGATCGTTCAAAATTATCAATAGGCGAAAGAATTCAATTCTCCTCAAGTTTGATGAAGCCGTCTCCATCAAGCGCTTGAAACCTGATTTATGTGTTCACAAAGAAGCAGTTGTCTGTCTTCCTTTGCCCTGGTAATTGGATATTTTCACCTCTCTTTCATCTGATTATGTAATGCCAAAAGTTCCCATTGTGTATGGTCATTACTGTTTGGAATAATTTTAAATATTATATATATATATATATATATATATATATATATTATTGCTCGCTTGGGTTCCTAGTGGAACATAGGGCTTCAACTGTACGTCTCCACTTGCTTCTGTCTTCTGCTGTACTTTTCACCTGCATCCATGTTAGTCCATACTCTTTCAACTCCTCTTCACACGATCTCCTCCATGTCACCCTTGGACGTCCCATTCGCCGCTTCCCTTTCGGGTTCCACTCGAGGGCCTGATGCGCGATATCAACCAGCGGTCTCCTCAGCGAGTGTCCGATCCATCTCCACTTTCTGCTGCATATTTGTTGGGCGATTGTTTCTTGTTCCGTTTGTTCCAAGCCATAGTTTCTTGTTGGTGATTCTTTCCGGCTCGGCCATCTGATCTTCAGTATAGAGCCAGCGAAGACAGTTGTTGGTAAAGGTCTTGATTGATTGGTTTTTGTTTCAAAAATGAATTCTGTGCAAGTATGTTGAAATTCTTTCTGTGGATAAACTTGATAATGCCTTTGATCTGAAAGCAGCTGATAAGAAGCCAGAGAAATAAATGATGGTACCAGATATCAGAACTACTAGAAATGTTTCTTAAATCAAAGCTGGACAGATACTGGCTGAAGCATGTGGTTTTACTAAGATGCTACGCTAATCCTGAGCTTCTGAGTGGAAGTTTGATCCACAAGGGAGTGGAACAGCGTCTAAAGTCATGTTCCCACGGTTTATGGTGATAGAAACAGGTTTATGTGCCACTCGATCACATCGGATTCGGTAAACCCCAAGGTATACTACCAGAGGTTTGGGAAAAAGAGTATTTCACTTCCCGTAGGTAGATCTGTAAGTCCACCCGTCAGTCCAGTTGTGAACACTTAAGACGTTTCTGTTCACCCTTTCATTCTTGTACAGAACATCCCCGCCAAAAACATACTTTTGCTATGAGCTAAAACACTGCGCAAACGAGCATATCAATTCACATAGTATATATCAATTTACATGTGTGTATGTGTGTGCATGTTTCGCATGTGAAGTCTGGAAAACATATCGCCAAATGGTTAGAAAAGATAATGAACTACGAAAATTTGATAGACACAGGTGATAGACTACTGAATTAGTCAATATCTAAACACGTAATCGATATAAATCGTAAGACTGACTTTTAGGTTATTTATAGAAAAAAGGTCAAGGGCGCTTACTGAAATACACAAAGGCGATAGCTATTCATACACTTAAACTTCCACCGCACTCTAGATAATCCTTATCCGATTATATTATTAAATGTAGTGTTAATTATTCGTATTGTTCTTAAATTATTTGTGGTATCGGTTTCTTTTATTTGCCTCTTTTATTCTTCATATAAAATGATTTAACAAGTTAATATGTGATCAGATTGTTCAGAATGTGTATCTGATATATATATATATATATATATATATATATATATATATATATGGTGGTCCTTCTTTCTGTTGCTCTCTTAGTCTGTGACCATTTTACTTTGATGAACCTGTCTCCTTTAACAATGTATATTCCTCTTATATTATATATATATGTGTGTTTGTTGACATGTCTGTTATATTTCGCTATGTATATATGG